GTAATGGACAGAAAATTGTATAAATTGTAATGGACAGAAAATTGTATTTAGAACAATAAATTTAATAATTTGCTGAATGTTTGCCGAACGATGCTTGCTTCATTTTAATTTGACTTCATGATGCGTGTACGTAGTGCTTGCTACACTGATCCTCCCTCACTTTTACATAGTGGGCGCAGAGATGTCTAGGCGTAGACAATGCGTGCGTGTAACATTATCTGTGAGTTTTCCACTTATACGTGCTCAGCTTTGTTCGCGGTACACGTACAGGGTACAAAGAACCATTGTTCCCTCTTGTTTCCTATCTTTCAGCACGGGAAAGTTTTGCATCGATCCGAATCCTTCTGTACGATACCCTAAACTTGCCAATTTTCTTTGCTAGGAATCTCCGAGTACCTTGTATAATACTTTTTGGATAAATAATGGCTTCGAGTACGTGTTATCGTTAACCACTTGCAAAATCGCAGATGAACAGATAATAAAATTATTTTCTCTAGTTTAACAATGCTTTATTATTCTAGTTTGAGGAACGACAGAGTTGAAAATATGTTGCGCGAATTAATTATGCCCACCTTTCTGTGTCCCTGGGATTCGTTATCGCAGCATTCTCTTCTGTCTTCCTCTTCTGGTTGCTTGGGAACAGCAACAAGTTGTCGTTTACTCGAACACTGCAAATGAAATTCTAGAAACCAGTGGAATTCACCGTATGAAAAAATTGTACGGTGAAGCAGCGTCTCAAGACTGCTTTATTTCCATTCCAGCCTTTGATACGTATGTTGATCGCCCAGGGCGAGAAACCCTGATGTCGAGACAAGCTCCAAACACACTCAAACAATGACTGTTGAACCATTTTCGTCATTTCAACGAGTTCTTTCCAGAGGATTAGTGTACTAATCACAGGATCTAGCCGCTATTCAACCAATTTATTAGTTCGCGAGGGAACTCGATTCTCAAAGTTAAACAGTTCTTGTTTTGTCGTTTCTTGCAGTGGATATTCATTCTCTTGGCATCATCTTCCTTTACAGAAATGTTTCATTAAAAGCAGTCTCACGAATTCATTGCTGGGATACTCGACTACTCTCCCGTTCATTATTTTCGTGAACAGTGCCCTGACACCAGGTCATTATCCGAAAAACTTAGCGTTAGGGATTGCTACAATCCTTGGCTACTTGTAAGAATTATTTTACATATGTACATTGCATACATTGCATTGCATAGCTTTACAGTATTCATTGAAACTCAATTTCTTTGTGTTATATCCATTTGCGTACAACATTTCTAACACAAATATCTTTTGGCATAAGGTATCACTTGGTCTCACTCACACCTTGGGACCTAAGCACTGAGAACCGAGTAATGCTTTATTAAACATTCCCCAAGACTGTTGATTGACCCCGATACTGTTCTCTCACGTACAAATTTTGATCAGTTCCCAAACTGTATCACAGTATTGTTGCAGGGGAAGGTGCAGAGAACCTAAAGGACAATAACAAGAAATCAAAGCACTAAGCACCAAGTGATGAAGGACTTTCTTCTTTCTGTATTGCCTTTACGTGCTCCCAACGAGATTAGAGGCGACATCCCCCAAATTGAATGATGCTAAATCACCGTTAGGATGAGGACTTGCGGGAGACCAAGCTTGGGAGTGTCTCTACTCCAGCATCACCTGTTGGTATCCCGGTCACGGTCCACACAGAGAGGCAAGGGGAAACCCTACCTAGACAACAAACAGTGCGCATTCGCGAGCGCAGATCGATGTGTTATATCGCGCGCTTTCCTATGCGAGGTTCCCCTCTCTTTCTCTCGTCTACACGCTGAGGACGCGATTCGACAGGTGCTATTGTGTCCCTCAACGCTTTGTGTCTCTTTTTCTTCCTCGGTCTTTCATGGGAATCATGCCTTCTTCTCTTCTGCCTTGTTACGTATATGTATCAGGATTGTTTTTTGGCACCAATGAATGAGAAATTAGAATTATACAGGGTGCACTATGCCTTCTTCTCTTCTGCCTTGTTACGTATATGTATCAGGATTATTTTTTGGCACCAATGAATGAGAAATTAGA